CTTTAACCCACTGTGCCACCGGGGGCTCCTTCATATAAATGATAGTATATGATATATACTATCATATACATGATAGTATAGCCATATTTAAATATCTGGATATCCTATGGAAGATTGAGTGATCTTGTTTCTCTTTTTCCAGAGATTAGAGCACAAACTAGTGAATTAAAATTATAGGAAACAAGATCTCCAATACTAAGAACTTCTTGATTTTGAGAGTTGTTCAAGAGTAGAATTGACAGTATCTCAAAGTGGTGAACTCTCCTTCTTTGTGTTGGAAATGGCAACCTTCTCACATCTCCACTAGTTCGTTTGTTGTAGGTATTTCGGGCTGTATGGAAATGTTCTAGAAGCATTCTCTCCTGACGTTTTGCCTGCATCTACGGCAAGCATCCTCAGAGGTTGTGAGGTCCACTAGTTGCTTGTTGTGAGAGGGGCTGCAGACCATGTGATCAGGTCTGGACATGTTCAGGACCAAGACTCCATTTTTAGATGTGTGTTTGAGAAGCCATGTAGAGAAGTGTGTGTTTGCATCAGAAGCAGTAAGTACAGTTATACAGTTATACTTCAGTAAGATGTTTGCTTAAAGACTCCATTGGACAATGGGCTGTTGTTTTTAAGGAAGATGCCCTGTGTTACCTACACAGAAAAACTACTACAAAATCCTATTGTAACTGGATTCACAAGCACAGTGCCTGTATGCTGTATACCTGAAGTTTTGTGAGTAAACTTCATGTATACCGATACTTTTAAAGAAGACTGTTTATTTTGTCTCTTGACAGCATGATTTAAAGGCAAATATATTTTAAGGAAGAGTAGATGTTTTGGGGCAACTAAAGAAATATGTGTTTTGGGCATTGGCCTGTCTTTGTTCCTGACAGTTCAAAGACATACCTAGGTACATCAGTTGAACAGCTGAGAGACCTAGTTGCCTTGCATGAATGCTGGTGTGACCACTTTTCAAAAGGTTGTGACTTCTAACAAGCTCATGCCTTTCCTTGACCAGTGATTTTCCAAAAAGATTATGAATCCCATTTCCAAAATGGTTATGGAGATTCACATTTTCCTAAAGGTTATGGCATCATTTTGCTAAAACTTTGGAGGTTTTAAAATAATGATTGGATGGCTATCTCTCAATTGTCTAGTTGTCTTGTATGACCCTTGCAGTCCTTTCCAGCAGTATAATTCTGTGTTCGATTACGAAACTTTTGAAGAGGAGCCATATGTCTGTAAGTCTGTCTTAAGTTTATGAGTTTGTGTAAGTATGCCTTGCTGTCAAGGAACCTATCTTTCTGTGTTTTACAATTGGTCTTGCTTGGTGGTTGCTGCTATTGTCACTATGTTTTACTTATGCTCTCTATACTGTTTATTTTCCTTTCTCCCCAAATAAGGGCAGATTGGGCTTGCAACAAAATCATCTTAATCATCTTGAGGGGGTACCTCTCTTTTATTAATGCCTGATGGGTGGTTTCAGGTTTTGTCGTGTTTTGCCTTAGCAAAGGTCAGAAGCAGCAACGGGTAACTTGGAATAGGTTGCATTTTTGACAGCTCTTAGCGACTCCCTTGAGAAAATGATTTGTGGGCCAGTGATATATAGAAATAATAACCGAGAGATAAAAATAATGAGCACCCGCAGGAGAGAGTTTTTACTGTCAAGAAGAGATGTCCGCCGGAAGGGACATGACCCACCTTCAGTAGGCACCTGAAGGTAACTATGAACATTTCAGAAAGAGTTACTGCATTATTCAAAAAGTATTCTAAAGATTGGTAGGCAAAGACTGATAACCTGGAGTTGATGCTGACGCGCAGTATGAAAAAAGAGACGTGAAGAAGGAGGCAATATGAATAGGCTGGAAATATTTATTGGTTATACTTAAGTTATATATCACTCTTCCTCCAAGGAATTCAGAGCAACATGCAGAGGTTTTGCTTAGTGGTGCCTTCAGTGTCATCTTGCTCCTTCCCTCCTTTCTGTTCTCTCCTTCTATCTCTTCCTCCTCCTCTTCATTCCTTTCTCCTCCAACTCTCTCCTTCTCTTCCTTCCTGGCTTTTCCCTTCCTTTCCTTCCTCTTCTTCCTTTCCTCCTTCCTCTCTTTCTTCTTTCTTCCTCTATCTCCAATCCCTTCCTCCCTTCCTCATCTTCTACCCATTTTCCTCCCTCCTCCTCTTTCTCCTCTTCCACATTTTCTCTTGCTCCCACCTTCTTTCAGAATGCACTGGAGTAAATCCTCAGTCCCATGTATGCATATTAACAACTGGATACAGTGACCCTATATTGATATATTTTGTCTTGCTCCCCATAGTCTTCCAGAATGCTCTGGAGTAAATCCTCAGCTCCATTTGTGCATTTTAACAACTGGATACAGTGATTCTGGATACAGAGATAAGGAAGGCTGAGCAAAGGAAGATCAAACATCACACTGGCAACAAAAATCCACATAGTTAAAGCAATGGTATTCCCCATAGTAACCTATGGGTGTGAGAGCTGGACCATAAGGAAGTCTGAGCAAAGGAAGATAGATGCTTTTGAACTGTGGTGTTGGAGGAAAATTCTGAGAGTGCCTTGGACCGCAAGAAGATCCAACCAGTCCATACTCCAACTGCTCACTGGAGGGAAGGATATTAGAGGCAAAGATGAAGTACTTTGGCCACATTATGAGAAGAAAGGAAAGCTTAGAGAAGACCAGAGGTGGCCCTAGGTAATTTCCAATGGTAAGCAAACAGTATTTTGCTGCCCCCCCCCCCAACCAATCATTGATATATATTTTCTATTCGTCATGGAAGTTCTGTGTGCCATATTTGGTTCAATTCCATCATTGGTGGAGTTCAGAATGCTCTTTGATTTTAGGTGAACTATACATCCCAGTAACTACAACTCGCATATGTCAAGGTCTATTTTCCCCCAAGAGTGCCTCAAGAGCACCCCTGGGCAAAATCAAGTATACTGCGAATGCTTACTTTGCGTAATGGTTGAGCCGCCCCTGGAGAAGACAATGATGTTGGGAAAATGGAAGGAAAAAAGAAGAGGGGCCAACCAAGGGCAAGATGGATGGATGGTATCCTTGAAGTGACAGGCTTGACATCGAAGGAACTGGGGTGACAATGGCCGATAGGGAGCTCTGGCGTGGCCTGATCCATGAGGTCACAAAGAATCGGAAGTGACTAAATGAGTAAACAACAGTGATTCTGCTGCAAATCCACCCATGTCATGTAGACATTCCCCAGCTAATCCACTTAATTTTAGCTGTACAGATATAGTCCAAGAGACCCAGACTCGTCCTGCTCTTTTTGGCTTTTGGCCTCTCCATAGGTCAACATTGCAGGGTCCCTCCTCCATGAGCATGGCAAGGAATCAGACAATTCCAAGCTTTCAACAGCATCCTCCAGGTCTGCAGGCAGGTTTCGTTCCGCCAACATTAATTAGATTTTTAGAAAGACTCATTGTTCCAGCCAAGTTCTGATAAGGTAAACTGGCACTGAAGTGTGAGCGAGATGAAGATAACTTGGCATCTTTTCTGTTTCCATGTTTCCAAGTGATGGGAACTTCCCTGACAGTTTTAATAGGTTGTAGGAGGAAACACTACAGACTTGTTTCATACTATCTGCCTATCTTCAGATGTGTGGGTTGAACAGGAAAACAAAGTAACTGGTTCAGGTATAAGCAGAGCAGATCTAGCCCCAAAATCACACTCACAAAAGGGGTGATGCAGTCCAACCACCATGTAACCCTGTGGACACAGATTTATGCCTTGTAACTCTGATGTAAAATTTTAATTACAAAGGTGCATCTACACCAGGCACGGGCAAACTTTCTAACTTGGGGGCTGCATGGCAGGCCAGGAGGGAAGGGGTTCTCCCCAAGTCTCCTCCCTGCCCCATCCTCCCCATTCTCCTCTCTTTTGGAGGCAAAAAGTGACAGAAATATGGGAAATGTTTGGATCCCAAAAGGGTTAGCCTTGGCCAAGATGAGATGATGGATGGGAGAGGAAAAAGTGCATCCATGAGACCCCGTATTGCTTTCTCCTGATATATAATTCTAGAATGCTAGAGTTGGAAGAGACCCCCAAGGGTCATCCAGTTGAACCCCCTGCCATGCAGAAAGGCATAATCAAACCACTCCCAATAGACAACCTTCAGAGGAAGAGACTCCACCACACTCTTAGGCAGCTTATGCCACTCTCCAGGAAGTTTTTCCTAATCTGTTCAGTCAAATCTCTTTCCCTGCCATTTGAACCCATTGCTCCCTTGTGCCCTGGTCTCTAGTGCAGCAGAAAGTGAGTTTTCCCCCTCCTCCTCTCAATGGGACACCCTTTTAAATCTTGAAAGATGGTTCGCATGTTCCTTCTCTACCTTCTCTTCTCCCAGCTAAAAATCCCTTAAGAGGTAAGAAGGAAGGAAAAAGAGAAGGGAGGGAGGAAGAGAAGGATGGAAGGGAAGTGAGGGAAGGGAGAAAGTAAGAAGGGAAGACAAAAGGGAAGGAAGGAAGGAAGGAAGGAGAAAGAAAGGGAAGGAGAGAGGAAACAGAGTAGAAAGGAAGAACAAAAGGGTGGAAGGGAAGGATGGAAGGAGAAAGAGGAAGGTAAGGAAGGGAGGGAGGGAAGAAGGAAGAAAAGAGAGAAGGAAGGATAGGGCGGTGAGAGAGAGGAGGGCCTGAGAAAAGAGTCCAAGGGGCCGCATCCGATCCCCGGGCCTGGGTTTGCCCATACCTGATCTACACCATAGAGTTAATGCAGTTTGACACCACTTTAATTGCTATATTTTAATGATTTAGAACCATGGGAGTTGTAGCATCACAAGGTCTTCAGCGTTCTCTGCTGGTGCCTCACCAAACTACAACTTCCATGAAATATAGATGTAGATCCACAATGATCGCACATATATCTAGGACCTTTCTTGACTTGTTTTTTTTTTTGTCGTATCCACAACTGTAGGATGTTGTTGTTGTTTGTGAGCACTGCACGTGTTAAACAAGGGTATGATATATGGACATCTGCTATGCATTTTTAGTTTTCAAGTTTTCATATTTAATTTCCAGATTTGTTTTTAGACCTCTTTCATACAAGCAATCCTAATTTATGTCGAAATGAATTCCTCAGCCAAACTACGTAGAAAATCTCACATTAACAAAGACGTCTTTGCATAAGGGCAAATCTTTTTTTCTTTTTTATACAAACAGTAGCTGGTGATTGGCGCTGGGAGTGTCACTACATTTTAACTTTCTTTCTTTCTTTTTTTCAGGCTCATCTGTGTCGGTTTTGCTTGAAACGGGCGTATTTCTTTAGGGTGTTCTCTGACTGCGTTTGGAGTTCTTCAATGTGGGAGTTTAAAACCAGTTCAAAGTCTCTGGCACGTTTCTCTTCCTCTTGCCGGAACTTCTCGGTTACGGTTGCAGGAAGCGGGGTCTCTGGGGAAGGCTGAACGACACACAAAGAATCGACACAATTAGGGCAGGTATAATTAGCGAGCTTTTCTTATTACTTACTGTACTGACAACATACTTCTCTTTTATTTATGCCTGCAATCCGTTCTGCAGCATTAGCCATCCAATTGAATTACATCCCAAAGTCTGCCTTAGGTTTTATTAGTATGGCTGCTCTTGACTTTCAAGAAACAACAGGGCAAATTCATAACATTATGCCCTTAATAAAGAAACTGCTGGTACATTGGGTTCAAAATTATGGAAGCGTGGTGTCATTCATAAACTTACTTTTTTGAAGAAGTGGTAATGTGATTTTTAGTTCGGAAAACAATATTTGCTACACTGCTCTGGGTCTAAGGCCGTTAGATCTCAGGGGCTGGGTTTCTGTCCCCAGTCTTTGTGGGTCATCTCCAAGCGGGAGACAAGGGAGTAAATTCTCCAGTTTTGGTGGACTTCACTTCAGGCAAGAGCAAAGAGAAGACTTCCAATCTCCAGCTCACTCACTATAGCATCCGCTTGCTACAATTTGCAAGGTTTAGTAGTTTTATTGCTTCAGGAAGGGTTTACTTGCTTCCAGCTAGAAGAAAGAAGTAAGCTCATGGTATCTGCTGGGGTTTGGTTCCAAGACCCCCTCTGGATATTAAAATCTGTGGATGCTCAAATCTCATTATATATAATAATGCAGTAAAACAGTACCCTTATATAAAATGGTAAAAGCTGTGGATGGCTGAATCCATGGATACAAAATTCATGGATATGGAGAGCCAACTGTATTAAATGTTATTTATCCCATTGACTCCTGGTTGCGAGGCGGACTAAACAACTGAGTTGCTGAACTTGCTGACCAAAAGGTTGGCGGTTTAAATCTGGGGGGCAGGGTGAGCTCCTGCTGTTAGGCCCAGCTTCTGCCAACATAGCAGTTCGAAAGCATGCAAATGTAAGATCAATAGGTACTGCTTCTGTGGGAAGGTAATGGCGCTCCATGCAGTCATGCTGGCCACATGACCTTGGAGGTGTCTACAGACAATGCTGGCTCTTCAGCTTAGAAATGGAGATGAGCAGCACCCCCGAGTTGGACACGACTAGACAATGTCAGGGGAAACCTTTACTTTTTATCCCATTGACTCATAGCATCCTAGAGTTGGAAAAGGCCTCAAGGGACATCCAGTCCATCTCCTTGCCAGGCAGGAACACACAATCAAAGCACCTCAAGAGATGGCCATCCAGCCTCTGCTTAAAAACTTCTAGAGAAGAGGAACCCACCACACTCCAAGGAAGCATATTCCACTGCTGAACAGCTCTTACTATTAGCAGGCTCTTCCTAATGTTTAGGTAAACTCTCTTTTCCTGCAATTTGAATCTGTTGCTCCATGCTTTAGTCTCCAAAGCAGCAGAAAACAAGCTTGCTCCCTCCTCAATGTGACATTCTTTAATATATTTAAACATGCCTATCATGTCCTCCCCTCTCAGTTTTCTTTTCTCCAAGCTAAACATACTCTGCTCCCTCATCTATTCCTTGTGGTCTTGGCTTCTAAACCTTTGATCATTTTGTCTTCTTCTCAGGACCCATTCTAGTTTGTTAGTGTCCTTCTTGAATTGTGGTGTCCAGAATAAGACACAATATTCCAGATGAGGTCTAACCAAAGCAGATGAAAAGGGGGGGGGGGTATGGCTTCCTTCAATCCCACCATTATATTCCTATGATACAACCCAGAATTGCATTGCCTCTTTTAGCAGCATCATGACACTGTTTACTCATGTTCAGCTTGTGGTTTCCTAAGAGTTCTAGATCCCTTTCCCATCTCCCTGTGTAGGAGAGTAGGAATAATCCAACTCATTTCTCTTTGATCTGTGAACAAACTCTTTAGCTAAGATTTCTGTCTTAGTTTCCAAACAGGAACGTATTTTCTCTGTGCATACTTAAATGATAGACTGTGAGCAATTGTGGTTGGTGACTGAAGCAGAATACTTTCTGACAGCCCCCAGTTAGATTTTAGGGTGGAAACCTCATGGCTTAGGTTCATCCTGAACTGGCAACTTTATTAGGGATGCATTTTGGGAGAAACTCTAGTCTCCAGGTATTCCATTAAGCCTTACTGGCCAAGGATTAGGGATTATAAGATTTGAAGTACAAAACACTTGTAGGACATTGATCTAGATATCTTGGGAAACAGTGATCTAGATCTTCGGTCTGAAGGGCAGCTCCCATTTGCAGGTTTATCAGACCCATGTAATAGTCCACATGAATAGAGGAGCCATTCAAGCAAAGCTGGGTAATGTCAGCGGGTTTTGGAGTCATCTTTTTGTTCCTTGAATCATAGAATGATTGGGTTGGAAGAGACCTTGTGGGCCACCCACTTTAACCCCCTGCCAAGAAACAGGAAAATCGGATTCAAAGCACCCTCGACAGATGGCCATCCAGCCTGTTTAAAAGCCTCCAAAAAAGCCAATGGGATTTTTGCCTGCCTCAATAGGAGCATAGTGTGTAGATCTAGGGAAGTAATGCTACCCCTCTATTCAGCTTTGGTTAGACCACACCTGGAATATTGTGTCCAATTCTGGGCACCACAATTCAAGAGAGATATTGACAAGCTGGAATGTGTCCAGAGGAGGGCGACTAAAATGATCAAGGGTCTGCAGAACAAGCCCTATGAGGAACAGCTTAAGGAACTGGGCATGTTTAGCCTGAAGAAGAGAAGTCTGAGAGGAGATATGATAGCCATGTATAAATATGTGAGAGGAAGCCACAGGGAGGAGGGAGCAAGCTTGTTTACTGCTTCCATGGAGATTAGGACAAGGAACAATGGCTTCAAACTACAAGAAAGGAGATTCCATCTGAACATGAGGAAGAACTTCCTGACTGTGAGAGCCATTCAGCAGTGGAACTCTCTGCCCCGGAGTGTGGTGGAGGCTCCTTCTTTGGAGGCTTTTAAACAAAGGCTGGATGACCATCTGTCAGGGGTGATTTGAATGCAATATTCCTGCTTCTTGGCAGGGGGTTGGACTGGATGGCCCATGAGGTCTCTTCCAACTCTTTGATTTTATAAGGAGCCTCCACCACACTCCAGAGCGGAGAGTTCCACTGCTGAACAGCTCTGAGACCCAGGAAACCATGTGCAAAAAAGAAAAGAAAGAAAAGAAAAACAAAAGTGGAGGTGGCCAGAAGTCCACTTCTAGTTTTACAACGAGATGTTTCATGTTAATGCAGGGAGACCCTATGCTCTAGAAACTAACTTAATGCTCCAGCAGCATCCCCAGGAATAATAGGACACATAATAAACTTAATTGATTTGTGGACTGCTAGGAAGGTCTTCTAAAATAGTTTGCATATAGACATACTATTTCCTAACTGACTAAACATCTCATTTTTATTTGATGAAATGGCAACAATTGTAAATGGAGCCTTGAGAACACTGAAAGAGGCAAGTAGTAACTAGTGCCTGCATTAGTCCTCTTTTCCTACCTAATCCTTTTTCTTTTGTGTGGTTTCTTTTCAATTATAGGCCTCAAGGCTCTGTTATTACTGATCTTTGTCACTCACGGCCGATCACTTTTGTTAGATGAAGGAGGGGTAAAATGCTTTAAGTAAACAATAAACAATACACAATGACTTCGAGGTACTCTACAAAGGGAGCGGGAAGCATATTTATTGTTTGCTGTTCCATTACTTGGATTGTTTGAAATGTAAAAATGTAAAAATAAAACTTTTACAGAAATACATTAAGAGGTGACATGGGTTCAGACATGAACATATTCAAATGCTTCTCCTCATTATGGAATAGAAATATTCTGAGAATGGGTACATTGTCTGTTGCTCTTATAAACAACACATTGCTGTTGTTGTCGTAGATCTGTGCCATTCAACCTATGTCTAATGTGAGATGATTGGCATGCCACCCTACCCATGAGCCACAGCTGTGTCTTTCATAGAATCATAGAATCATAGAATCAAAGAGTTGGAAGAGACCTCATGGTTCCACGTCCTAGACTTTCTTTCTTTAAAACCTAACATGGACTGACTCATTGCAGAGAAACATGTTTTAATTGGCACCTGAAAGAGTGTGTAAAACCCACAAACAACTACCAAACAGCTCAATGAGTGAATCTACACAGAATTAATGCAGTTTGACACCACTTTGACTGCCATAGGAATTGTACTTTGTTGAAGCACTCTTTGACAGATAAGGTTAAAGACCTTGTAAAACTGCAGCTCCCATGATTCCACAGCATTGAGCCAAGGCAGTTAAAGTGATATCAAACTGCATTAATTCTAGTGTTGACCCAGCCTTAAATGCAAATTGCTATTTGACTTATGCATGTAAAATGAATATCACCTAAAATAACACAGAGAGAGCCTCTTACAGAATCAGACCACACAAAGAAACCAAAAATCCTTACCATCTGACTTGCTTCTGCAACATAGGTATGTTTCAGTAACATATCAGGTTTAGCTTCTTTAGGAAAGTAGGTGCTATGGTGTTCTCGATATGCATTTGGTGGTGATGGAGATCTACCATCGGCGATGGGTTCACGACTTCTACTTCGTCCTTGGAGAGGCAGAGCACAACTGCTCTCAGCATTGAAAATATCACCTTGGCCATGCCAGGTAGGATTTTGGGTTCTGCAGTGTTCGTAAGTGGCGGACTGTGCTGTCCATTCATTTTCATTCTCCACAGGCCTAAAAGATCAAAGAAAAGGTTTCAGGTTGGGAGCTACTTGTCAGGGACATATTGTTAACATGATAAACACTCTGTTACAAAAGATCTATTTAACTTTAGAGAAATGTTAATATTTATAACCAATGGCAAAGAAAATGCAACTTTGACAGCTCAACTCACATTCCAAACTATTCGTATCCAAACACAAAAATACATAGAATCATAGTTGGAAGAAACCACAAGGGCCATTCAGTCTGTCTGCCATGAAGGAATTAATAATAAAAGTACTCCTGACAGATAATCATCCAGCCTCTGCTTAGAAATCTGGGAAGAAGGCTCCATCACACTTCAAGGCAGGATTTCCCACTGTTGAATAGTTCTTACTTAAGCATAACTATCCAAATGTTTAGGCAGAATCACTTTCCCTGTGGTTTGAGTCCATTGTCTCATGTATAAGTTGCTGGATCAGCAGAAAACAGGCTTCTTCCTTTTGCAATATGTCAGCCTTTTCAATATTTAAGCATAACTATCATGTCCCCTCTGCCTTCTTTTCTCCAAGCTAAATATACGCAGCTTCTTAGGCTGTTCCTCAGACCTTTGTTTCAAATCTTTTATCACTTTTGTCACCCTTCTCTAGACATGTTCTAGCTTGTCAGTATCCTTCCTGAATTGTGGTATCTCGAACTGGACACAGTTTTCTAGATGAGGTTGGACCAAAACAGAAAAGAATGGTAGACGCTATTACTTCCCCTGATCAAGACACCACATTCTTATTGATGCAGTCTAGAAATGCATTGCATTTTCTAGCAGCCACATCATACTATTCCATGTAAAGAAAGAAAAGAAACTTCTTGGTATGTTTGCAGTATATGGAGGCAAAGACCAGAAATATTTCTTTCCCCCTTAACCAAAATATATGCCACTATCCTGTCTGTGCTGCTGCTACTGCTGGTTCTTCTTCTTCTTCTTCTTCTTCTTCTTCTTCTTCTTCTTCTTCTTCTTCTTCTTCTTCTTCTTCTTCCCCTCCTCCTCCTCTTCTCCCCCTCCTATTAGGCAATCTCTCGTAGTCTGAATATGATGGTCTTCCAAGTGTAGTGTCTTGGGGTGGATACATAGGAGACTGTGGAGCCCTATTCTTGATCTGCATATTTTTCCACAGTGAGGGCATCGGTTTCCAGGGGAAGGTGGCCCTGGTCAAGATTGGTTTGATGCGCCTTCCACTTTGTGCTTTTCTTCCTTTTGTCCTCCGTTTGTACCTCTTCGAATTCCACAGCACTGCTGGTCACCGCTGACCTCCAGTGAGAGTGCTCAAGTGCCAGAGCTTCCCAGTTCTCGAAGTCTATGCCTCTATGCCACAGTTTTTAAGGTTAGCTTTAAGTCCATCTTTAAATATCTTTTCCTGTCCACCAACATTATGTTTTCCATTATTGAGTTGGGAGTAGAGTAACTGCTTTGGGAGATGGTGATCAGGCATTCAGACAATGTGGCGAGCCCAGCGGAGTTGATGGCATAGGAGCATCGCTTCAATGTTGGTAGTCTTTGCTTCTTTCAGCACGCTGACATTTGTCTGCATGTCTTCCCAAGAGATTTGCAGAATTTTTCGGAGGCAATGCTGATGGAATCATTCCAAGAGTTGCATGTGATGTCGGTAGACAGTCCACGTTTCGCAGGTGCATAACAGGGTTGGGAGGACAATAGCTTTATAAACAAGCACCTTGGAATCTCTATGGATGTCTCGATCCTCAGACACTGTCTGCTTTATTTGGAAAAATCCTGTGTGTGCTAGTTGCTTAATGTTAGAATTGTATTAGGTTTTTACTTTTCCACATACATTTTAATTTTGTGACAATAAACTCTACCTTAAAGATTAACTGTAATAACAGGGGGCAAGGGAAGAACCATTATTTTATCACTTTATCTCCAGTGTTGGGCAGCTAGAAAACCCCAGTAAGCTCACTCTTTCTGTCCCTAGCCCCAGGTGGTGAGAAATAAATGGTCCCTTACAGACAACTGATATTTTATTTAACTATCATGGCTTGTGATTGCTGACAGGCCTATTCCTGATCTGTCAATTAAGTTATCTAGTGGTTTTTTGTTGTTTTTTTTAAGTGTGACTGAATCATCACTTCTTGTGTCACTGAAATCCATCAATAAACTGTTTGGTATGAAGAAGCACTTTGCCTTCACTGTCTTGAAAATGTTGCAAACCATTTTCACTGAGTAAGAAGCAGCTTTCTGAAAAAGCCAACTGCAGTGTCAATACTGGATTTTTCTTGGTAGATATGTATTTTAAATTCTAAGCAGCCACAATCTGGAGCGAACACAGGTAAAGGTACTTGCATCCATGTGATTTTGTTTTCCATTGGGCAAACATTACCAAGAGAAGCATGAACATAAACAGCACAAAGACATTAGCGTGGCATCTGGATGTTGCCAATTACAAAGCCCCCCTCCTCCCTTTCCATGGAAGCCCACCACATGTTTTCTATTTTTACTATCTCAAAGATATCCTTTTTGCCCTTCATTTCTTGGCATAATTGCCATGGAAACAGAACAGCAAATTAAAACAGAAAAGGATGGTTTAGGTTCGCAATAAACTAAAATATGCCCTAGAGTCAAAAATACACAAGCAACCATGGCTTGGTTTTGGTTCATCTGCTTTTGCTTGACGTTTGACAATATAACAGCATTTTGTCAGGAAAAAGCCGGTGCCTTCCGCAATTCACAAAGTCAAAACCAGCATCATCACAATCAACTCGATTCCTAAGGTTTCTGGCAGGAGTCTGAAAGGACGTGAAACACATGTTTGTTCTTATGTTCAGGCATTGTAATTTGTAGCAGAGCTCAGGAGAAACAAATTACCTTAACAACCGATAAAGTTAGAATTTAAAAATAGTGTAACCAATGGGAACAACGTAAAACTTTACTTGTGGGTGTAACAAGTAACATTTTCTAGGTTCTTTTCATGTTGCATTTTAAGAGGCATTTTGAGTGGAATTGCTGTTGTATGCCATTCTTATATACGCAGAGACATGCACACATACAATGAAAAATCGAGAAATAATGCAAGGAAGCTGATAACAAGTTACTAATTTTTGTAGTCTTAACAATGGACAGTATTCCGCATTGGCTACTTAGTCACGTACACTTTGAGTCACCTTCGGGCTTGAGAAAGGCGGGATAGAAATATCGTAAAATAAATAAATAAATAAATAAACTTTGTTAAATAAACTCTGCTGGCCCAACTTTTTCTGCATAATCTGGTGAAATCATCAATCCCATGCATTGGGATCACCAGCAGAATAGACTTCCTTCTCCACAAGCAGCGGATGCCAGTTAAGTTGGCTGGGCAGACAGGAGTTACAATCAGAGCAGGAGTGTTAAATACCAATCACAAATACAGAACAGCTACAAATCTAGGTAACTGTTCCATATTCATGATCACTACTTAATCACAATTAAGACATCATTGCCATGATCTATGTCCTACATTACTTGGCATCATCTGAATCAAAAGAAAGAGGACCAGTCTCCTTTTTTTCTTCTTCTTTATCTTCATCATCATCATCAGCTATCACTCGTGGCTGAGTAAGATTGTTTTCCAAGAGTCTTAGCAGTGGGTCTCTAAATGACTGTAGAGACTTATTCTGGATCCATATGGTCTTTCACGGTGAGGACATACATTTCCAGATGGAAGGTGGTCCCAACAAGGCTTGGCTTGATGCAGCTTCCTCTTGGCAAATTTCTTCCTTTCGCCCACCATTCAAGCCTCTTCAAAATCCACAGCATTGTTGGTCACAGCTGACCTCCAGTTCCAAGGTCCGAGGCTTCCCAGTTCTCTGTCTTTATTCCACACTTCTGAGGTTAGCTTTAAGCCCATCTTTAAATCTCTGTGTTCAGAACATGGGTGAGTGACATTTCAGGGCTTGTTACCTCTCTCCTTCTCCCTCCAGGCACCTCTATTGATGTCAGCATGGGGCACCTGCGATGACAAGAAGCTTTCCTGGAGCTCTGTGGTTGTTTGGCAGTGGCAATGGCAACATGGGCCCAATCTGTTCCCCTTTCCTTGTGCTGATGAGCACAGGGAAAAGGGGATGGTGGCCCACGTGGGCTGCAAACTGGTTCATATTGGACTAGATTGTGCTATGTCCAAACTGCAGAGCTGCTCCACAGTTTCAGCAGTGGCAACATTAGCACAATCTGTTCCCCTTTCCCTGACTTTCTTTAATGTGGGGCTAAACTGGATTAAAATGGTTGAGCTCCCAATAAGGACTGGAAGCCTCTGGACTCCATAAAGAAGCCAGGAGTGACTTCATGATTAGTTCAGGCTATCCAGCCCATGTAGATGAGCCCTTAACTGGTTTGGGGAAGTCAGGCCAGGAGTCCTGGGGGCTGCAGTTTGATAAGGCCTTGAGCCTTCTCTGCCAAAGAGTGTGGAAGCCTCATCTACAAATCCCAGGATTACATAGCTCTAATCTATGACAATTTCATTACAGATGACTTCCCTCAAATAGAAGCTCCAGTTGCAGCCCCTGAAGCATCTTCCCCTATTGCTTTGGCTCAGCACAAAGATTATCCATAAAGAAGCCAGGAGTGACTTCATGATTACTGTGCAAATCTAATGCGCACTCTAATTTTGGTAAGGTGATTTAGTTAAAAAAAGGTGAGCATTGGATTCGAGTAACTACAGTAAGTATATGATGCCTAATGCCTTCTGAGAGGGCATCACTTGATGTTCCAGATGTCACTGCTCTAACCTATGAGGGACAGAAGTGCAGCCAATATTCTCCCTCTTCTCTTGCCATCTCCCTTTCCTTGTTTGCTCTGTCTTGTTTAGATTGTAAGACTAAGGGCAGGGAACTGCCAAACTAATGTTTTGTAAGCTGCCCTGGGAGCCTTTTTGGCTGAATGACAGAGTATAAATATTCTAAAGGAAGGGAGGAAGGAAGGTCAGATTTTAAAAAAAAGTATCTTTCCTATCTCTGGTTTGTAGATGGCCTGTTCTGGAATCATGTACTTG